CCTTGCACGAACGCCTTGTCCCGACATCGCGTGCGACATAAACAGCGCCGACCAACATCTATTGTCACTTTAAGCTGCAGCAAAAGGCAACCTGGATGCATCCCCAACCCCCGATGCCGATGGATCCATACCCTGATGAGCGTCCCGGGATCCGCATCAACTGCAGAAGTGACGGACACCTTCTCAACATCCGACTTATGCAGGCCACCATGCGCGTCTCCACGACCACAGTTTATGACCTGCTGTTCTTGAATGTGTACGCTCTCAACACCAACACTGAAGCGGGCATGCAAAGGAGTATGGAAATGATCGCCACAGGTTGCGCAAATGTCGGTCTTACGGTGTTCATGCACTAACTGCCGACCACATTCTATTACGAAGCTTCACGAATCAATATAAACGACGCCGAGCTCAAAACCTTTGATGACTTCGCTTATCTTAGCTGCATGCTCTACCGCAACACCCGAATCGACGAGGAGGTTGCTCGCCGGATCTCCAAAGCCAGCTGAGTTTTCCGCCGGCCTCAAGACTCACTGGGGAGCCAGCACGGCCTCCATCTATCCACGAAACTGAAGGTGAATAGACCATCGTGCTCACGAAACTCTTGTACGATGCGGAAATTATGCGAGACGATTTTTGATCGTCTGATCGACGACTGCCAATGACGGCTACAAAAAATGCAATTCTTCGATTGAGAAGGACAGAAAACAGTGTTTCAACATCTTTAAAAATTGTATCACCAAGCACCTGATGAGGAAGATCTCGGCTTTGGCAAGTCACAGGCAGGCGAATAAGGAGAGGGTTTGGAGCGAAAACTACACAAGTTGAAACAAGTACATGATAGAAACCCAGGCTTTGTCAATAAGCTTTCGTATAAACCCCTCACCACCACTTAACCTTTAACACAGCACACGCCTCACCTACTGAGTTAATTGCCATCCTTGAGTAAACCCTTCAATCAACAATGCCCTTCTAGGAAAGAAAACAGCTAATCCACTATGAGACATCGCGGGGTTTGAGCACTAGTCTGGTCATCTTATCACTGGCCTCGCCGATAACCCTTGCCTTTTCAGAGGCGAGAACGTGGTTCCGCTGTTGCGTGTGGCCGTAGACCATAGAAAGCCCGTCATTGTGGTTAATTGCGAGCTGGTGCTCATGCAGCCTCGGGCCAAGACATTTACCCGTTTCCCTGTGTTGGGCACCGTCAAAGAAAGCTCGAAGGACAAGATTTCTTTGACGGTGCCCAACATGGATTTCGAGAATACCACTCCTGCCTTCCCAACATGCGTTATTCAATGGAGCAGTGGGCCAAGTCAGTAGACGAGAATACCACTGTCTATGTTGTTTGTGTTGACTTTAAAAATACATTCGATAGTGTCCCACACCACCGGCTACTCTAAGAGGTTGGAGAATGCGGAATAAGGGGGAATTTACTAAATTGGGTAGGTGATTTACTCATAGGCAGATCGCAGTCCGTGTGTATGGAAAACGCGAAATCCTCTTCAGTGCCATTTGTTAGTGGAGTGCCTCGGGGCTCCGTTCTTGTGCCATTATTGTTCTTAATCTACGTCAGTGACTGTAGGCATGGACTCGTCAGCAATGGAGTCCTGTTTGCAGATGATATTAGGATATGGCAATCCATCAGAAACACTTATGATGAGCAAACTCTGCAAGAAGGACTTGACCGCCTAGGCGAATTGTCCAAAATGGTTAGGGTGGTTTAACTTTGAATAGTGTGTCACATTATGGCTCAAAACAAAGAAGACAAGCGCTACGGGCGACTCTCCCAACTACATACTTAATTGTAGGTGCCTGTCAAACGTCACCGAACAAAAAGCCCCAGGAATTTTTATTATGCACTCCCAGAAGTTATTTTTGCAGTGTGTTAGGGCTGCCAAGAGGGCAAACAGTGTTCTGTAAAGAACTATTTGGCAAAATATACAGGACATTTATTTGTTCACATCTCAAATATGGAGCTCAGACGTGGCGCTCATAGCTGCAAAAGGACTACCAGCTGCTGGAAAGACTACAAAGGAAGGCAACAAAAATCATGAAGGGCCTAAAGTTCCCATCTTACGAATGTAGACTAGAAGCGCTTAACCTTTTTCCTCTTGAGTACAGGCAAATCCGAGGTGATCTCATACAGACGTAGAAGATTGGGAGTAATCGGGACTGTGCCCTTCAGTTTGATGACTTCTTCACGTTTGCCACATCAACTAACCTCCGTGGGAATTTTCTCAAATCTGGGGAACCTTAACGCGTCTTGATGTTTGCAGACGTTTGTTCTGACAACGAGTCATCGGTGCCTCGAACGGAGTGCCCGAGGAGGCCGTAATGGCGTACTCAACAAACCCGTTCGAACGCAAACTGGATAAATATTTACTTAACAGATACCGTTCATATGCGTGTTTGTATACACATTTGTCAAACCTATAGATAAAACTTGCATATATGTATATGCTACTCACTATTTTATAGTAACATATTCCATGTTGGATATATTATGCATACACGAAAGCATATGAATACTCTTACTGACACATTGGTCATACCTACATCTAAAACGTATATATATATATATATATATATATGTATATTCACTCAAAAATGTGCGAACACCGATAGAATAGGCTTCCGAACTAAACAAAGTTCATGTG